CACACACACACACATATATATATATATACATACATACACACACACACACACACATATATATATATATATATAGTATTTAAAAAAATAAGTTGTTTTGATTTTTATGGCTATTGAATATTGAAGATAAAATAGTTTTGATTTTTTTAAAAAAATAAGTTGATATTTTTCAAATAAAATATAAAAATAATGTGAAAATACACTAAATTAAACAAAAATATTTTTTAAGAAAAAGAAAAGGGTCTCGAACAAATACAAAACATTCATGACCAATACAATATCCTGAAAGCCAACTTAATATACATATTCTAAACTTAAACCACGGAATCACAAACATCAATCAATGTTGTTCATTCACAGTCGTCCGACCACTATCGACTCTGGATAGTTGCTTGATTTTCATCTCTCATTTACAGTTATTTGTTTTATGTTTTATGATCGTCTGACTACCATCACATATCAATGGTTGCTCGACCTTTATGACTTGACCCTTATTACCCACCCAACTATCATGACCAAACTACGACTCCCAAACATCATCAGCAAACAACTATCATTGGAATATGATCACCCATTCCAAAGGTATAAATATGCATTTTTAAAAAATTTAGTTGAAAAAACAAGTCCACCCCAAGGAACAGTGAAAGCGATATATTACAGATGATCAATAAAGTTTCGAAGGATACTAAGAAGCCCAAATTAACCTCAAGTTGTCTTCCAGGTTATGGTGTTACACATAATTTGATGATATGTCTTCCATAATGGAAAACTAACATGATTAGGCATACTCTAGACATTATGCATATTAAGAATTTTTTTATAATATATTTAATATTGTTTTGAATATCAAGGAAAAAACAAATGACAATGTCAAAACAAGAATGAATATGAAAGAGTATTATAAGATGAGGGGTTAGAACTGCAATAGACAAATGCAGGTAAAATAATAAAGATCACAGTTACATGTTGTCTCACATTAGATCAACGAAAAACAATCTTTGAGTGGTTACATTCCTTGAAGTGACAAAGTGGTCGTGTCACTAACATAGGCTGATGTGTTGATTTGGGGACTGGGAAAATATTTTGTATGAAGAGTCACGCTTGTCATATTTTCATGCAGTGATTATTACCCATTACATTGAAGGCTCTATCAACGTCGTCACTCGATCCATTGATCAAAATCGGTACATTCTTCAGGGAGTTGTACATAGGCACTTTAGAAGTTCATTCTCTTCAAAGTCTTGACGTGAGCATTCCGTTATTGTCGTGCAAACTTGAACGTATTTCCTTCCAAGCTTTTTGGCTCAATGGAGCATCCATACATTTAGATGTATCATGAGCTTATATTGGGGGGGGGACCAGTGTTGTATAGGTGGATGTAATCCTTTGAGAGGTATGTCTTTAGTTTAGTGTGAACTATCATATTTTTTTTTCTAAAATGACTAAAATGTGCATACTTTTGAATAAAACAAACAATTACTATTAAGAATAAAGCACATCCGGAGGGTTCAATATGTGAGGCCTATCTATTACATGAGACAATTACTTTTTGTTCTTATTTCTTCGATCAAGGGCAACAGACGCATGAAACAACTGGTCAAATGCCTTTGCAAACAGAATTATCGGTATTTCATATATCTGATGAACCTTTATATTGGCACGACACACGCTAACTGAATGATAGATAACTTTGAGTGGCTTCTTTGTATGTTCTACGGAACTCCAAAGAAGTACAACCATTCAAACAATCATATTAAATTTAATAAAAAATTCTCTAAATTATCATATAGAATGCCATACCAGCTAAGTCAGACATCCAAATCATGTTGATGTCCAAAGGTTATTTACCGAAAGTCTAAACATAGATGATGACTCTCTTGTTCTCAAGAAAATCGAAGAAAAATTCCCATAGTGGTTATAATTGCACGTACGTAAGAGTAACCTTTTAATTCATCGACGTGTATTGTCATTGTACTCAACAAAGTAAAACTAATTATGCTCTGGAAATTCTACTAAATTTATGATAAACAACGAAATCACATGCCATAGCTTATTAGTTCTTGTTTTGTGGCCTGATCAAAGTGTCAAAACATGACTCGTATTTAAAATGAATGGTTATACATTTCACACGAGCACTTTGTGTGAATGAAAACAGACTTATAATTATGGTGTGTGTGCTTGATGACTGATATCGCCGACAGAAATCTATCATTACTGTTGGTCAATAGTATTCGAGTCCTACATTTTACATTTATATCACTCCAAATTTTCATATCACATAAAAAATATCTACATTTTAACTTAAAAAAGTGAACACACCTTTTCATACATAAGCAAGAAGTTAGGATGCAAAAATTGACGTTTAGATTTTAGATATGTAAACACAAATAGATATATATATA